GCAGTGATAATGTGAACCAGAGGGACACGTTCATCTTGAGCCCCAGGGAATGGGGTTGTGGGAATGGGAGGTCCGGCTGGTGTCCGCCTGTAAAATTATCTAGGACCTTTGCCTCCTTCGGGGCCGGCCTTGCCAGGCTGGCAGAGAACCACAGGGTGTTGGGACCAGGAGCCCAGGCCCGCGAGGTGAGGTGCCTTGCCTGCCGTTGGCTCTCAAGGGGTCAGTGGGTGTGTCCTGACTCATTAGCCCTGGGCCAGGGCGGAGGCTGGGTGGGCGGCCCAGGGCCCACGGCCACACACTGTCACCTTTGCAGACAGCCAGTGCAGGGATGGCCTCAGAACCACAGGTCTTTCCCTCTAGAAGGCTCACTTTTTGAAAAGTTTGACGTCAAAAAGGACGCAGGTCATTGAGTGCTATTCCCATGACCTCAGCCGTGCGTGAGCCACGTGGATGCCGGCTGGTCTCGGCTCTGATCCCAGGTCGCTCCCCGCTGCAGTGCAGACGCTAAGCCAGTTTTAGAGCTGGTGGGATGATCCTGCGTATCCGAGCCCTGGGCTGAGTGCACACATGTGCTCAGCCTCCCCGTCACGTGTGGGCAGTCAGTCCCATGTCACCGGGGAGGACGCTGAGGGCCACGGAGCTGAGATGGCTCGCGTGAGCACGCGGCAGCAGTCGGGCCAGACTCAGCTCCGTGAGGCCGCAGCCTGTGCTCTCAACACCGATGGATGCTGGCTTTTCAGTTTCTCTTCAGCCCGGTGCACCCTTCATCAGCAAGTCACACGCAGAGACCTTCCCTGGCCCCTCACGGATGGGGGCCCACACGCCCATAGTGAGAGGTGCTGCCCGAGAGCCCTGTGCGGAGGGACAGGGACCCTGGGTTCTCTAACCATCTTTTTTCCATGTGACACTCAGGGGCCTCCCATTTTGTCTGAACTGTCACCTCCGAGACGGTTTGTTGACTACTTCCAGCATCTTTTGTTTGCTTCCTAAACTCGTTTTATTTTCACTTTTTGTATTCAAAAGAAAGGCTGACCGTGCGGCCCGTTTGGAACGTAATGGCAACATAGCAGATTTTAAAAATTCATCTTCAGCTAGTAAAGCGGGACATGGTAAAGATTAATTTTGAAGCATAGAAAGACCGGGAGCCAGGCTGGAGCCATCTGCACAGCTCTGTGCTTCTGCCAGATGGTGTCAGGGACACCGTGGTGACAGGGCAAGGCTGAGTGTGACGACAGCATGCCTCAGACCGTGGGCTCCCCGTTCCTGGCAGGACGTGAGAGCAGCGGACATCCATGGCTGCTTCTCCGTCTTGTTTTTACTGCAGTTTTAAACATAGGGAAAGTCCCCTTAAACTTCAGATGCCCCATGGGCCAGCGGTCCGGGTCTCGTATCTTTGGTATGCTAGGTGGGTTTCCCATCACCCCCTGACGGTGCACCATCACTTACAACGAGAAGGGACAGACGGCACCAGCTCCAGAGCTCGCTGCAGGATCACGGTTGCCGTCACTCGTGTGTAAGCTCAGACCAGACGGCCAGAGGGGGCCAGGCCTTAGAGGTCACGTGCTGTGGGCCGGGCTGGGTCGTCGCCTGGACCTGTGCGGCTGACTTTAAATACTCAGAGACCTGACTCCTTGGCATGTCTCCTAGAAGAAATTCACCTCACAAAACAGGACCGCTGTCCCCTCCCTGAACGTCAGACGTGTTGGGCCTGACGTGTAGTGAGCTTTCACCACGATCGCGTGAGCGCTAAGTGGAAACTTCAGGAAGGTTGTCCTCAGCGTCTGTGCGTGGTCTTTCAAATGCCACTGAGTCACGGGAGTGACGGTGACGCATGCAAACGTTGGGTCGTGCCGGCCTGACATTTGGCGGGAGGTTCGGTCGAGTGGGAAGGGCAGGTGTCCACGCCTAGCCCCCACTGTCCCCATCTGACCAGGGGCGGAGGGGCCGCCCGCTCACCCCACTTTGCTCCTCCGTGCCAGGTTGCAGCCCGTCACACGTCACGGTGTACAGCGAGTACGGCGTGGACGTCTTTGACGTGCGCACCATGGAGTGGGTCCAGACCATCGGCCTGCGGAGGGTGAGGCCTGGGCCAGGGGACGGGCAGGTCCCTCCCGCGCATGCCCCACGTGACCACCCCTTCTGGTTTCCGGCAGATACGGCCCCTGAACTCAGAAGGCACCCTCAACCTCCTCAACTGTGAGCCCCCACGCCTAATCTACTTCAAGAGCAAGGTCTCGGGTGAGCCTCTCCATGGGTGGCCACTGCCTGCGGCACCCGCTGTCCCGCCCAGCAGAGCGCCCCGAGCGCCGGGGTAACCCCGCATCCTCCCTGCAGGTGCGGCGCTCAGCGTGCCGGACACCTCCGATAACAGCAAGAAGCAGATGCTTCGCACGCGAAGCAAGCGGCGCTTCGTCTTCAAGGTGCCGGAGGAGGAGAGGCTGCAGCAGCGGCGGTGAGCGGGGGCGGCGTCCCGGGGAAGGGGCGCGCCTTGGAGCCAAGGGGATTGCGCACGCGCGAACCTCCAACACTCTCCCTTTTCCCCAGGGAGATGCTTCGAGACCCGGAACTGAGATCCAAAATGATTTCCAACCCAACCAACTTCAACCATGTGGCCCACATGGGCCCGGGCGACGGGATGCAGGTGCTCATGGACCTGCCTCTGGTGAGCCCCCGGCCGGCTCCCCCCCGCCGGAGCCCCCTGCCTGCTTCCCCCCACCCCCCCGCCGGCCTTTCCCTCCTGACCGCCGGGCGTGCGCGGGCAGGTGGCCCCTGGCACGTGGTCCCTGCTGCAGCCCTTCCCTGGCGTTTTCACCACCACAGGGCTGGCCGGGGTCACCCCTCCTGCTGCTCCTAGGAGCTGGGGCTCCCCAGGCACCTGTGTTTCCCCAGTGCCTATTAGTGTCTGATGACAAAGTGAGCTATCAAAAGTGGTTTCTAAGTAACCCCTTGGTACAATTAAGTAACATTTTAAACCCTTTTTCACGTAAAAAAAAAAAAGTTTTCTGTAGATCTCAGTTTGGTCTAAAATTGCTATTGCCAGTTTTTAGCTCAAGACTGATCGGGCTCGCTGCGGTCCCAGGCCCCGGCCGTGTCTGCCTGCAGACCTCGCGGTTGGCCGGCCTACTGGGCCTCTGGGATCGGCCGGGCTCTGCCCGGGGCCTGCGCTCCCAGCCAGGGCGCCCCACTCACCCTCACGTGCTCTCCGTTCTGTCCAGAGCGCTGTGCCCCTCTCCCAGGAGGAAAGGCCCGGCCCTGCTCCCAGCAGCCTGTCCCGGCAGCCCCCGCCCAGGACCAAGCCCTACGTCTCCTGGCCGTCGTCAGGTACCCAGGGCACTGAGCATGGGGTCTGGGAGGCTGGGACTCTGGGCCTTCCCTTCAGCTCGCACTGTCCCTGAGATGACAGCTGTCCTTGTGTCCTAGGTGGACCCGAGCCTGGAGTGGCCGTGCCTCTGAGAAGCATGTCGGATCCCGACCAGGACTTTGACAAAGAGGTGAGACCTGCCTGCCGGGCGTTCGTGGCGCACTGCGTGGAGGATTGGAGTGACCTTTTGTTGAGAGAGGCCCATCTTCCCGGGCACAGCCACGGGGGCCCAGAGGGCCACCTAGGGGTCCGGGGGTGCGGCTGAATCACCACCCACAAAAGGAAGGGCAGCCCGATGGCACGAGGCCCCGTCAGTTGTCCCCAGTCCCTCCTGGGCTCCCCGATCGTGACTTCTCGGGCTGTACTACAGCAGGTAAGGGCGACATGGATGGTGGCCGTGAGCCTGTCAGAGGACGGTGTGAGTGTCCACCTCCGCGTAATGGCCTGAGCAGCACTGTCCCTTGCTCAGGTCAAGATTTCTGCAGCCTGGAGCCGGGCCTCCCTGCAGGCTCCGCCCTCAAGTCACCTGTTCCCCTGTTCCCCCGCCCAGAGGCCAGGCCAGGCCTGGCAGACAGCATCTGAGCCCAGAGGGGTCGTGGGGCGAGGCCGTCACTGTGGGACTGAGAAGCGAAATCTTGCCGAGGGAAGTTCCCCTGGGTCCCCTCCTAGGCTCTTCTGTGCCACGTCACACCCTCAGAGGTGACGTCCCTTGGGTGTGCTCCGTGAAGCACGAGCAGCCTCCGCCTCGGAGAGCCTTCCGTGTCGGCCCGTTCCTCCCTGTGATGGCCGCTCGGGCAGGGCACGAGGCCAGCCCGGGGCCACCCTGTCTCAGAAGGTTTCCTGGGTGTCCAGGCCCTGCCCACTGGCAGCCTTCTCGTGCGTCAGGAGGCATAGCTCTGCGCCTCGGTTTCCCCTGCGTGCGACAGGGTGTGGGGCGAGAAAGGGCTGGCACTGGAGCAGCATGGAAGTGAGCGTGGGCCTTTCGGGGGGGCTGCTCCCAAGGGACGGGGCGCGGAGCCGGCAGCCATGCCTGCCACTCCCGAAACCACACCCCGGCACAGAGGGTGCGTCTTCACGGCTGGGCTGACGGGGCAAAACCAAAATGGTTTCGTCACTCACAGTCCTCGTCCTTCCTGCTGGTGCCGGTCGGCCCAGCGTCCCACGCTCCCGAGCCAGAGAAACCGTAAGCTGTGGGTGTTACTGTTGCGAATACTTTTCCCAGTATCACTAACCTTTTAACATTTTGTCTTTTAAGTTTCATCGTAGTTTTTAATTTTATGCAATCCAGTTTTTTTTGTTTTTTTTTTAAGATAAACAGTGCTGTAGTGTGAGAGTTTGGGGGGTTTTGCTGTTTGCTACCGCGTCTTGAAAATGTATATATGTGCCTGTGCGTGCCTGTGTGTGCCTGTAAGACCGTGCGAGGACGAGTGTGTATGGACTCTGTGTGTGTATGGCTGAGTGTGAGTGAGTGAGCAAGGACCTGAGCTGCTTTCTTTCTAAATTAGATGGCACTGGCCCTGTGCCACTCATGTCCCTCCCAACTTGAAACATCTTTATTTCGTGTTAAATTCCTTTGTTGACGTTTCTGCTTCTGGAACCTCTGTTCGCAGGGATGGGTCACTTCTCCGCCAGCACCACCTGTAATAGGAAATCGGGCAGAGCAGATCTCTGTTCTCCCTTCTCAGCAATTTCTTAGCTATTTTTTATTTTCTCCTTCAAGTAAATTTTAAAACCAGGTTGCTGGCCCCGTAATGAAGAGGTGAAAATTGGGGTTCCATTGACTTGGGAGATTAATTTGGGGTCTTCATCCCGATTCCTGCACAGGGACAGTGAGCCCTCAGGCCTGCAGGTTGTGTTTGTGGTTACTGAGTTTATTCTTAAGAATTTCAGTGGTTGTGTTGCCACTGTAAGAATTTAATCTTGTTTTCCCTACCTGTTAATGTCATAAGAGTGGATTTCCTTGCATCCTGAGGATAAATCCTTGGTCGTGACGTGTTAACCTTATTTAGTACACTGATAGGTTCAGTTTGTGAACATTGGTTGACAACTTTTATATCTGTTTATCAATCAAGTTGACCCGTGCCTTTCTTTCTCAGTCGTGTCCTCGGCCGGCTTCGTATGCGGGGTGTGCGGGCCTCACCTCTGATTTTGGACGCCCGCGTCTCTTGTTGCCATGATACAGGCACTCCTTTCCCGCAGGGCTCCCAGCGCCCTTCAAACTGCCTGAGATTCTTTCCGGTGCTGTTATAAACGGAACTGTTTTCTTAATTTCCTTTCAGATGGTTCATTGCTGGTGAACAGAAACACATCTAATGTTCGTGTGTTGATCTCGTAACCTGCAAGTTCGCTGAAGTTGTTTAGCTTTTTGCTGAGGTCTTTGGGATTTTCCGTACATAGTCACGTCATTTGCGAACAGAGATGGTTTCACTTCTGTTCCAGCTGAGGTGCCTTTTTCTTGTCCCTGCCTAATCGCTGCCGTTAGAACCTCTGCGGTGTGGACTGGTGCGGGGAGTCAGGCTCCCTTGCCTTGTTGGTAATCTCAGGGAAAGCTCTTTCACCCTCAAGTACGACGTTGGCTGTGGATTTTTCATGGAGACTGTCATGTTGAGAGTTTCTCTCATTCTTTATCGTGAATGTCACGTCTGTGGCTTGTGACTGCTGGATTATGGTGGTGTCTGCTTTCTTCATGGTGTTGGTCATTCTCTTTGGTGCTTATAATCACTAAGTCATTGATGGGGTTCTGGCTTATGATCTCTCACCAGCAACCTTAAGGACCAGTGGGTGCTCTCAGAATAAGAAAAGAGGGAGCCGTGGCCACTCCTGTCCCCCACGAACACCCACGTTGGGCTGGGCACCACGCCCTGCACTGCGCATGCCCAGGGCACCAGGGTTCCATGCTGTCCCCTTTGTCTTCACAGCCTGATTCCGATTCCACCAAACACTCGACTCCATCCAACAGCTCCAACCCCAGTGGCCCTCCGAGCCCCAACTCCCCCCACAGGAGCCAGCTCCCTCTCGAAGGCCTGGAGCAACCGGCTTATGATGCCTGAAGCCACCGCCTCACCACCACGGGCCAGGGAGCCAAGGGTGGCCTCCAACACCAGTGCCAAGACTGAGCTGACCCTCCAGTGTTGTCCGAGGAAATGTAGAATCACTTTGTGGATATGGAGATGGAAAAAAGTCTCTCTGGCTAACAGTGATCGGTTTCAGGCCGCGTTGTTCGTGGCAGGAGACCGGACCCTTCGCCTACGCAGCTGTGAGGTGAGGTGACGCTGTTCCGTTTGCACACGAGGGGCCAGCACCCGGCCTCCTCCGCCCAGAACAAGCCGAGAGGTCCCAGGGGGCCCTGGCACCGCTCTGCTCAGGAAGCGGACGGCCCCGGTCACGAGCCTGCGCCCTCCGTCCCCAAACTGCTTCCTGGGACTGCGGAGAGTGTGGGAGAGCTGTGCCGTTCGCGCCGTCACTAGAATGTCAAAGACAGGAAAGAGGAAGTTGGTTAGTGGCCTTTTATTCATTTTGCCATCAGAGTCAGGTGCAGAAGCCCTTCTGCCAACCTTGTGGCCATGGATGAGGCGCATTACGAGTGACGCCCGCCCTACCCTGGGTCCCCTGTGTTAGTCCATTCCCGGTCACAACCACGAAGTGTCGCCAGTAAACTACTGTGAAGTCAGCTGTGCTGTTCCCCGCTCGCTTTCACAGCCTCTGCCCCTGCCATAAAGTGGACAGTGCAGCCAGCCAGGCCCCGGGCCGCTGGGCGAGGAGGCCAGAGGCCTAGGTGCCCAAGGGCAGGCTACGAGACGCCCCACCCGCCCGGTCCTGCCCCTGCATGGAGCCCCGTGATTGGTTCCCGTGTGGATCATTAGCCTCACCTAGTACTGCTGCACATTGTCCCTGCCCAGGCGTGGTCAGCTCCTCACCTGTGTTCACTCTGCCCTCCGTGTCACGTGTGAGTCATCGGGTTGGCGGGCCGTCGGAAGCGGCCGGCACACAGCTCGTTCGCGGCCCAGCACGGGCTTTTCCCTGCTCTCCCGCCAGTCGACGTTCTTGGAGCGCTGGATGAGACATGCACTTACCTGGAGTCAGCACTGAGTGACGTGGCTGCCACCGGCCCGCCTGCGGGTGTCACGCACCTAGCACCTGCCCACCTACCCACGCCCTGAGCCTTCTGCTGGGGCTGGCACCTGCTGGGGCTTCTGGTTTTTACTTTTTTAATGTAAGTCTGAGTCTTTGTAATTATTGAATCGTGAGAACATTTTTGAACAATTTACCTGTCAATAAAGCAGAAGGCACAGTTTTAAAGTTCTCGGTTTCCTGAATGTAATGATCTGGCCCCGAGTGTCTGGCCCCAAGAATGCCCTGTGCTGGAATTGCCTGTCCTAAAGACAGTAAAAGAGCCATCTTGCCTGCGGAACCGTTCCTGGCCATTCCCTCGGGGGTCACGCGACAGGCACAAGTGGCCTCTGGACCTGGGACCTCGCACCTGCCAAGCTGTCGGTGGAGGCCTCCTGGGTCCTGGGGCTGCCTAGAGCAGGAGAGAACCCTGCCCACGCCAGTCACTGGGAGGCGGGGCTGCGTGGCCTCCCTGAGGAGTCAGTTTCCTGAGGGCAGGGAGCAGCCTGTGCTGGAGGGGGTTCTTTTTGCCCTGCTGAGACACCCCCCTGCCCCGCCCCGCAGAAAGTTCTTGGTAAAGCGAGGGCAGTGATGAGACCTGCCAGCGAGGGTGGTGTGTGGGTACGATGACATGCCAGGAGCCACCAGTGAGCGCCTTGTGGTGGCCCTGGGGCTCTGTGCCAGTCAGCACGGCGGGGCCCGCCCTCAGTGGCACATGTGGAGCTCCCCATCTCAACCACAGTGACACCAGCCCATCTACCGGCGCAGTCGCCCAGGGCCGGGCCACCTCACTGCGGGGCTTCCGTGGTCACAGTGGGGAAGGAATGTGACAAACTTCAGACATGCTGGCTCCAGAGTTGCCCAGAAGGGCTTCACATCCCCTCTGCTCCCATTGTCTTGGCAAATCACAACAGCCCTGGCCTCCCAGGGGACAGAAGGCGCTCTTCCCACCTGCCTCTGAAGGGGCCTGGGAGTGGCAGAGGCCACACGAGGCACAGGTGGAGCCTTTGAGAAACACGAGTGGAATCGCAGCAGCTGGAAACACTGAAGAGTGGCGAGTGGGCACGGGGCTGGCTTCCGGGCAGGTGGGTTAGTCTCGGCCCCGCCTGGTGTCCGTGCGGCATGAGGCCAAGGCCCCTGGTGTGAGTCTGAAACAGGCGCTCAAGTGTCAGCCATGTGTTAAAATTGAAATGCCGCTGTACAACGAACGGTGGCATCCTTGCTGCACAGCACCAGGAGCGACAAACGCATGCAACACGGGGCAGCCTCGCAGACAAGACGCCAGCCGCCAAGCATGGCTCTGGCGACGGGCTATGAAAAATTAACCCAGTGTCAGAAGTCAGCAGGGGTTGGGGTTGGGGCAAGGACTGACGACATTTCTAGGTCCTTTTTTGGTTACACAGAAAGGTCACTTAGCAATACAATTTTACACAGAGTCAAAGTAGGGTGGGTGTCCTACTTGGGGCTGCTCAGCCCTGGCGCCACCCCGCTGCCCCCATCAGAACGGCCATCAGAATGGGGAGGGCAAGGCCTGGCCTTGCAGTGATGGGCACCAAACCACCCATTCAGCAGGCTGCGCCCTGCCTGCACTCACCTGCTCCACCACTGCGGGGACAGCCCCACCTGCTGCCTCCAGAAGGGACTGGCCCACCCCGTCGCTCCAGGACTGTGTTCCTGGGACTGTAGGCAGCCCGGTCTGTCCAATCTGGGAGGCAGTCACGTTCCCCTAGCTGGCCCCGAGCCGCTTGGCATGGCATGGGGGGAGGTGGGGAGCCAACAGCCCACCTTTCTCCACCATCACCAGTGCTTCAACCTCCTGGGCTCTAGTCCGCTCCCCTTTTCCCTTAGGGGTCGCAGGCTTCCTGCCCCCGCTCCTCCAGTGCCAGGGGCAGCCTGACCCAGTTCTGGGTCACAGGGCGGGAAGCCACTAGCCACCACGTAGGGCTCAGGGTTGCCCTTGGTGGCCTGCCACGCAGCTGGCGGGGACGGGCTCTGAGGACCGCCACTCACGTAGCAACTGTCACCAATGCCCTCCCAGCTACTGTGAGGCAGGGGCAAGGGGGGTGGCGCAGCGGGCGGAGTACCCACGGACTGCAGGTGCAGGAAACCCTTTATTGGGCAAGGGCACCGTGCCTGGCACGCCGGGGATTGGAAGGTGTGGAGGGCGGGAGGGGGGGGTCCCACAG